CCAAACTGCAATGAAAATGTTAATTTGGCAAAAAAAAGAAAAACAAACATAAAAAGCACTTTATACTTACGTCTAGACCGAATTTAAATGACTGTATTTTGACTTGGTCACAATAAATGTTTTTTGTTCTTATGCCAATATTAAATCATCATTCAGGCGCTATTGTTTTCTTGCCTTTACACAAAGTAATATTTTAATTAAAATGCAAGTCTAAAATGGCTCGACCTTCAGAGATGAATCGATACATGGAGTTCCACTGTGCTCTTAATAAGTCCTTGTGCATGGCTCTTAAAGATCCTTTGGGTTTTCTAACTTTAGATTTATTGTTTTAAACATTGTCTGTAGTGCTATTTTTGGTAGAGCACAGAAATAATAAGCACAATATGTTTTCTCCAAACTAGGAGAGAGGAGTCGCTCTTACACAATGCGCCGTCACCCTCAAATCCTCGAGTCCTCACTGGGAAAATACAGGATGACTCACTGGGTTTACTCTAGGATACAAACTGTGAACTAAATGTTTTAATTGTACAGAAAATGTGTTTTAAGTATCGCCAAAATTGTTAAATAAAAAGCAGCAGAAGTCACACTTTTACAGCTGGAAAGTCTTCACAAACAAGCATCACATTCAATCTGACTGCATCTTCACTGGCTTGTATCCGGTTTAATGTGCTGATGAACAATGCATTATTCTAATCGCTATGGGGCCAATGTCCAGCCCTCTCATCTGTAAAGACTGTGGCCTTAAGATGAGACAGGAAGCCCTCTGTTTGCACACACAATATTTGGAGGAAAAATGAGGAAGTCGTCCTTATTGGAATAATTGATATCTGCTTGTTGTTGAAATTGATAGATTTATTTTAAGAGGCTTTGTCAGACTGCTCTTAAAGAAGGGTCGTACATGCTTGAACGAAGATGCAAAAGAAGACAATATCCTTGCTCTGCCACACTGACAGTTTTCCCTCATTAGCCTTTAGCTTGACAGTAAATGCACTGTGCGACTCTATCTGCCCTTCAAAACAACACAAAAACAACTCCCTTTATTTCTCAATGTGGAGTTATATAAAAGCAGCATTATTGGTTCGCTCAGCTCAGAACTGACAGATTCTGAGGGACACGGGGAGATTTCTTTAATTCTTTGGGGAAATGTGCTATTTTAAAAGATCACTGGAGATTTCAACTTTTTTCTTTTACTCTTGACCCGTTCAATATCCGTCACTGTCTTTGTATAAGAAAGCTGTCAATCAAATCGTACTGAGCTCGGGGTGACTTCAGTCCATCTTCGCAATATGAGTTTAAATGATTGGCTATGATTGCTTCTAAATTGGTTGAACATGTCTTAACATACAATAGGTACAATAAAAGAGTGAAGTAGTCATCATGAGTCTATGCTGAAAAGTGAATGTATGAAGTGAGGGGTTTGAAGAGAATGTGAAAAGTGGGCTTCACTCTTGGCCCAATTACTTTGACCTACATTAGTTCTCAAAACCACAATTTTGCCACATTATTATGAAAAGATTGTACAAAATATTCATCTGTGACATGCATCAGTAAAATAAGAGTAAGAAAATGGACGTCTCCTCACATTAAGGCACACTCAGGGTTAACACCTTCAGTGCTGTAATGCCCCTGGGCTTCAAACTTGCATTATAGACAGTTTTACTTCACATGTCATTACAGCTTGGAGTGTGGCCACTATAGCAAAAGATCCATCCCATGAGATTGCAAAAAGCCAGCTGCCTCGCCACTTTGAATTTTTAAAAGATGACATGTTCGGAAGCGAGAATATAGCTGATCATTTCAATTATGAAGAGTTAGTTGGAAGGAAAAACAGACTTCCACTCTGCTTTTAAAAGAAATTCCCCACAGCCTAAGAGCTATATATTACGCAAGTCTTTTCTGGATGACCTATCCTGACACACAATGTAAGTAAAGATTCATATGTAAAGATAGTAAATCGCATGTTTTAGTTGTAGTTAATTATTGCTAGCGAGTACAAGCGGGATCACTTCATGGTCCCCAGCCTGGATAAATAAATATGTTGTGTAATTAACTGCACTCAAGAGACAGTTGACTTGCAGTGTTAAAGATAAAGAGATGTTAGCAAGTTTTTGGACTGGTGTTTTGTTGTCATGTTTGATTTGAAGATCTAGAATGGTTTGGAGATCTAGAAACCTGTTGACAATGCAAAATAAGTAGAAGTAAAAGTCAATGTAAAACAAAGGCTTGACAACTTGAACAAAAAAAAAGAGAAAATATTTAGGCGCTATATGGTTAGACCTATTTTGTGACCTATCAGGCCGTGCCAGTGTTGCTCTTTTTGTTTCTTTCTAGTTTTTTATTTGTAATAGGGTTGATCACTTGTTGGTTGGCGTCTGGTAAAAAAGGCCACTTCTGTTAGTGTTTTTGAAAGGGCACTTGGTGTTTTTAAGAGCTTATATCACAACGCTATAAAGGAGAAGGACACCTGAGCTGCAGTGGAGGCGACGTGGGTCTGTGAAGAGAGCCTTAGGCCTATTCCACAACATTAGTTAATTCTTATTACAACAGCTACTGTGACCTTGATTATTAATAACAGTTCTTTCAATGTCATGGGTGTATAATAATTTGGTTATAGCACAGGGCAGAGAGATGATTGGTCTTAAATTTCAGAGCTGGTTATTGGTTATGGCTGGTAGGGAGAGCTACCATATTTGAGCAAAAATGCTTTAGACTGATAAGTACTGGACTGGTGACCTTGTGTGCCCTTATCAACTTAACATTATGGAAAAATCTTGTACGGCAACTCTATAATTGTGGAAGACAAAATTACCAAGAAATCTTCAAGAAGATGCTGAGGAGGGTAAAAGCTAAAAGCTCAGAAAAAGTGGAACCAGAACAATGGGTCTATATTTGTTTGGGCAACTGCCTTTAAGTTTTTGTTTTACAGTTACACATGTAGTAAAATTCCACAGCAAGTCTTCCTTAACTTAGCCATATGTTTATGTTAAGAGAATTGCAGGTGTCACCATCCCCCTCCCACGGGGCACATAATCATTATTTCAAAACTAATTGCAGGATTTATCTCTAATAGCCTTTGTCTAAACAGGTTTTTTCCAGCGTCACAGGATTCTCTCAGAGTGAAGGACAGTAATTTGAAAATGAGGTGACATGAGTTGACCACAAGCAGTCACTTTCAAATCGGAGGGTGTTAGCTATTTGTGTCAGACAACATGTGTTTCTTTGATGGGACTTGACAACTTCCTCCCCAAAGCTATGCTGAACATGAAGAGCAACAGAGTAAAAGATGCCCCAGGACAAAAAACTTCACACTGCTTCCACTCTGTGCCTCAATCCACTTAAATCTCCCATGAGAATAACATATAAATTTGGAAGGTGGCATACAGCTAGACAGGCTCAGAGAGCTTTATGCAATGCCTTCACAAATGTGAATATCCTCTACGCCTGCCTCTCAAATTTGTTCTTCATTACTCGAGTGCACGAAATGTGCCGAATCATTTTGACCTCTTCAAATAAGTCTGAAACTCAATTCGGATTGAGTTACAGACGTCTGAATGCAACAGGTTTAGTTTTGGCACGTATACTTGTATAAATGTACGATTCCAGAAAGTAATAGTGTGAGAATGGTTCTCTTGGATTTTAGGATCAAACTGAGAATAATAAATAGTACACTAGCTACACATAAGAAAGAAAATGCAAGTTTAAAGATGACTTGAAGTACAAATGTATTTGTATAAAAAAGGTGTATTGTGGTTATGGGTTTGTCTGCAGAAGGCATGTTGCCAGCTTTAATGTGGCACCTGGTGCAGAGGCTGTGACGCAAATATGTTCAGCAGCAATGAATCACAGGAGACAATGTCCATCTTTGTGTTGTATACTGTATATGTATGTATGTATATCACAAGTCTGATGTTTCTTTAATAAAGTTCATCAACATGCCTGAACAGCATCATTAGCAGATGGGAACTTTTGAATGAACAGTGAGTAAATCTTCATATATCCACTTTACTAACTTGTGTGCCTCCGTCACATAAATTTATTTTGCTCTTAACACCATATTCCCAAAAGTTTTATTGAAATGTATTTTTAGTTAAGGGCAGTCCTTCCAGTTTAGTTGGTCGTCTTCCTTTTTAAACCCCCCATAAACCCGTGCAATCACTTTTACTAAGCCTTTCAAGTGAAAATGTCAGGTGTGGCACCTATAGGCCACTGCTGAAAGCACAGAGGTAAACTGACGTGCACGCGCGCGCACGCTCACATATGACTCATCTCATCTAAACTAAAGCACTTTGTCAGAGGCGTCCATTCACATTACACCCCGGTAGGAACGCGCAGACTCAATCTCACTTTGGAGCGCAACACTTATAGTGAGCTTGGCTATATAAGTCCATTCAGCATCTTCTTTTTAAGGAACTAAAGCTATACTTGATTCTTAGCGCAGGCAAGGAGAAAGACTTTTACCATACACCTGGCAACACAAACATCTGATCCGGATCTCCTCTAAACATTTAAGGTATGAACTCAAGTGATGCTGATTTGTTTCATGTCTTCCATTTTCATGCGTGTAGTCCTTTGGATAGCATATAAAGTACCCTACTTCTGATACTCTGTATTTGTCTGATACTTTGCTGGATAGACTAATTTATTAAAGATTAGCGTTTTTTGGCATTCTCCTTATTATTATTTTAGTAAAGCAGGCCTACTTTATTGGTTCTTGAACTAAATTATTTTGACTTCAAAAGCGTCTTTACGCACAAACATTACGCACACCTCGCACGGACTTTACACTTTAAATATATTTTAAACAAAAAGGGCAGTGCCATTCAAACTTGTAAATATGTAATGAACTGATTCTGATCACAGTTCATATGTGATTTCTTTAACGGAATGGCTTTTGGCAATGCGTAAATTTTCTGCAGCACCATTCATATCGCGGGTTCTTTTTTACACACCTGTAATGTGTTGAATTTATCTGTGCTTTAGATTCCAGTTGAAATCCTGACATGAAGCTCAATTTACTCGGAACCACCGTGATTCTGCTAGTTGCCTTCTTACCGCGCTACGAATGTCGGGCTATTGAGAGCCCTGGCAGTGCCCTGCGCATCCCCGCTCCACAGAACCAGAACTCCCAGCAGCAGTCTGGTCCTATCTTGGAGCGGCTCGGAGAGGAGTATTTCATACGGCTTGGCAACGGGGACTCGAACTCTTTTCCAGCGACTTCTTCAATGTATCCCGGAGGACCCTCCTCCGTCTTCAACAGAGCTCTCCAACTCCAACTGACGCGGCGTCTCTTACAGGGCAAAGTTGGCAACATCAGAGCGCTCATAGGAGACTTGGCTGACCACGGGGACGAGTCCATGGAGCGAGGGAGAAGGTCCGAAGAACCGCCGATATCTCTGGATCTGACCTTCCACCTGCTGCGGGAGATGATGGAGATGTCCAAGGCGGAGCAGCTAGCTCAACAAGCGCAAAACAACAGAAGGATGATGGAGCTCTTTGGAAAGTGATGTCCTCCCTCCAGCCCGCCAAAGATCTCCCTTCCATTTTATTTTTGCTTTCCATTTCGACCATCAGCACAAAACATGCTCTGTACAATATAGTGCTGCTTTATCACAATTATTTAAAGAAGCTTTACCTGATCAAAACAGGCTTGGCTCTTAAAAATCCGATTGTACCTTACTACCATTTTAAATGTTTGTGTCAAATCTGTAGAATATGACCGTTCTTCATATTTGAGATGAAAAACCTATATGGTTTGGATATAAGTTGCATATTGCATCATTACAATTTTATTTTGTTTTAGATTATGATTATCAATGTATTTATGATATTTGTTAATAAACTTATGTGCAACCAGTCATTTTTTGTTGTGCAAAAGAACATCATCTATATTTCTAATAAAAAATTTAAAGGAATGCTTACATTTTTTCTGCATTGTTACTTAGATCAATAAACATGTATTATACTTGTGAAATGTGTGCCAATAATAAACTGGCAACCATATTCATTTACTAGAGCACTTACTAAATCCACTGTAGTTGCGACCTTGCACACACACATGCCTATTGATTTATGAAAAATAGGTCAGTCTTGAATACAAATGTCTCATATAAAGCATAACCCTGAAGTCACTAAGTCATGGGTTGTTGGTTTTTGTAAGTTTTAATTCTGAAAAGGCAATTGTCCTTATTACATTAAAAAGAGACACCCAGTTATAGCTGAAAGGTGCAGCATTTATAATTAATGAGTGTGAAATGCACAGTCTGTGTCCAGTATACACTGTGCTGCTCCTTGACTCTCAGTGTCACAGTAAACCAAACAGGAGCTGTGTATGCGAGTCATCCTATTGTATTTGGCCCACTTCACAACTTGGGGCTTAGTGCTACATTGAGCTGTTTGTAAAGGATCCACCTCTGTGAAGAATGAGGGGTAATAATTACAGTAGATGAGACTCAGTGTGACTGGCTCAATGGTGGGACAGATCAGAGGATTAAAGAAGCACCCAGGATGTCAGGTGCAATATTTGCTAAAGCAGTAATGTCTTTAAATGCTTTTTTGGTTTCAGAATAATTAAGTAAATTACATTTGAGTCTAATGATTCTTTCAGTGTATATGTGCTTTTCTGTGCATTAATATAGTAACAAAATCAGACTTAACAATCCTCTGTAAAATATTATTGAAAATGCCTTTTGTTACTGACAAAGTTTAACATAAAAAACGACATCCTGGTTTATGAAATGTCAAAGAGCCAAATTTGACTCATTTATCAAACTAATAAAGAAGTTGTAAAAAGAATACATGGTGAAGGACAACTTGGAGCCCTACTGAAAGTTGTAACAAAATGGTTGAAAGAAGGTCAGCTACATAAATAAATCCATTTGGGATCACATCACGCACAATGTCCACCACCAAAAAAGAAAACATAACAACATTTGAGAATGGCTAACAACACAACAGAAAGAGTGGAATTAGTAATTCAACAACTACAACTACGTCACCTACTCACGCTTTTCCAAAATTGCACTAATCTGTTTAAGCTCTGGACCCCCACTTTCACACATGGCTATTTGGAGAGGAGGGCTGCACTCTTGTCAGGTGCTAGAGGCTGTACCAGGGCTCTTGCTCGTACTAACAGAAAGATTTTGTATGGCTTGTGTCACCTCTGCATCGCTTAGTTCTGTCTCTCCATCCTCATCTTCGTCATCTTCATCTGCACCCAGACACAAAAATGTATAATAGCAATAATTACAGACTCAATACAAAAAGAAGTAATAATGATCAAATTAGAGCAATTTCACAATTTATTTTTTACCTTGGATGAAGTCAATGCTTCTTAGGGCCTGGCGTTCTCGTCTAAAGTCAACGCTAAAATGATCCATGTTCTCATAGCCGCGTTCAACCTTTTCCAAGTGCGCTATACTTGAGGCCTCTGCAATCCTTTAGGATGGCAAAGGGGCAATTAGGGTCACTCATCAGTCAGAATCACTGTACTGCTGAACAAATACTATCAATCTTGATGCACACCACGGTCAATGACTTATTTTTGGAATAATTACAGTGATTTGCTTGCTACACTTCACACAATTACTTTCAACTACTCAGACATGCAACCCTTGTCTGTTGTCTTCATCTGGGGAGGTCTGCCAGGAAACAGGACTACTAGTGCATTTAAGTCACAGTAAGAAATAGTATAATAATAAGACCAAACTTACTTTTGGAGGAGAGGCTTTGTGACCTTCCAATAAAAAGAATGAAACAGAGGAAAAAACATTTAATAGTCAGATCAATGTATTTATTAAAAGACAATGCATCTCTTGTTCTAACCTGTAAAAACACAGCCTGTGCCTGCTCCTCCATGGTCTGGATGCCGGTCTCCACGATCTTACAGCTCTCCTCCAGGTGGTCTCCGTACTTCCGGGTGAGTCCTCGGATGTAGTTCACTTTCTCCTCTTGCTCTGCTGTCACTTTCTGACACATCTCCCTCTTCTTGTCCTCCAGGATCGTGTACAAGTGGTCAAACTTCTCACACAGCTGGGTCTTTTGCCTACAGCTGTTTTCCTGGATGTACACATGACATCATTTGGCCATATTCATGATAAGAGGTGGGAGATTTATCAAATAATGAAATGTAAATAAAATGTAGTTTTGGAAAGGCAAAATTAGAATATCAAATATTATTAAAAGGCTGAAAACCAGAGAAAATTTAAAATAAAAAGATCAGTAACTCAAAGCATAACCTGCCAAGTGGTATTTCTGTTTAGTTTTGTGCATGAACCTTAACCAAGATATTTACAGTAACCAGCACATTTTTGACGGATTGCCATAATATTGGCTGCATCTCGTCATGGGGATGATTAAAAATACAGTTATGTATTTTGTTAATATTACCCACCCCATTCAAGTTGCATCATTTCCGTTCTGCTTAAACCACTGTCCTGATAACATATGGACATGTTTTTTCCAGTCTTATCCTTTTCGTTAAATGTCTAAAATATTACGATTATAGATTACTGATATTGAAAATTATTATTTTTATTCAAACAGATTTTGTTTATATTTTCAGGCTAAATGGTAACACAACAATAAAACCTATTGCTCCCATAGTTCCGTTATTGTAGCGAGCACCGAGATGTTACATCTACACTATGCAATGCAAACATTATCATCATCATCCACTATTTGCTCTGTGTAGAAAGTGTTTTGTATTGAGATTATTGTACAGAAGCATCCGATTCATCCGAGATTCTTTGTTTATTGTACTCTTACAAGGTTGTGCTTTTTTACAAGGACACAGCACAGGCAGAGAATATTCACGCTCATTATATGTCGACCTTCACCTTACTGGTGGTTTTCCAAATGTGATGACTCCCAGATGGGGGCAAAAGCAGTTTTTCCAAATAATCACATTGTACTTTGCACTCTGCCTTGAAATATCCAAAAAGTGAAGTCACACATGCTGAACCTGAGAATTTCTATTTTGACTAGACTTTAAGGTCCTGACTGATTTTGTCCAATGCGTGTTTGTATTTGAGCAAAATTTGACTTGCTCCATACAGATAAAAGTAAAAATGTAAAAGCCACTCTTGAGGTCAAAGTGAGGAATAACTTTTGGACCCCCACAAACCATTTAAAATTAATTCATGTTTTTTTTTTTTTTTTTCGCTTTTAAACTCAAATCAGGTACAGAGCCTGTAAAAAACTAGAATTACAACAAAAATATTTAGTGTTTTGACAAAAACATCATCTTTATGAATTAATATTCGCCTATAGAAAATTGTGATGCTATCTGAAAAGCCACTACTTTGAATGTAAAATACTAGAGGTGTTGACTAAAAGAAAGAGCAAGCAGGCTCAGGTCACAGGGTGACAAGTGTAAAAGTGACTTTGTAATGTCATCATCTTTCAAATAAGTTTTTTATTTATATAGCACTTTTCACAGACATATGTCAAAAAGACACTTTACAGATCATTATTCATTCACTCCATACCCTGTGGTGGTAAGATACTATTGTAGCCTCAGCTGCCCTGGGGCACATTGACAGAAGTGAGGTTGCCAATCTGCGCCATCAGCCCCTCTGACCACCACCATCACTCACGCACACACCACTTTCATACTTGGCAATGTAGGTGAAATGCCTTGCCCAAGAACACAATGACGGTTTTTGCGACTAGTGCCCCACCATGGCACCTGATTTTCCCCCAGTGGTCTCCCATCCAAGTACTGGTTAGTAAGGCCCAGCCTTGCTTAGCATCTTACAAGATCAGGCTTTGAGAAGACGGTATGGCTGGCTACAAGGCTGAAACTCCAAAAATGTGTGCATAACATATTTCTGAACCATCATCTGGACCTCTTGGTCTATAAACCCAAAGAGTCCACTGCACTTGTTGTACAGGTGGAGCAGCACATGTACAGGCTGAGGCTGAGTGACTGCACCTATTATACACTGACCTCTATTGCACGACATGCTTCCTCCAACTGACTAATGATGCCCTGCATCCGGTCGTTAGTTCCAACCATCATGGCAATCCCATCACTGAGCTCCGTCTGTAGAGGCAACATCAACATACATAATATGAGCCAATCACACATCAAACCAGTTGTGTGCATGTGTGTGTGTGTATGTGCGTGCGTGCGCATGTGTATATATAATTTTCATTCTACTATAATGCCAACTGTAGAGGATATTCAAGCTTGTAAACTGCAATATCATAGTCATTATCATTATTATGATAACATCACAGATGTGTCACAAACATCACTTTTGTTTATTTTACTTTTAAACTCACCTTTTTGGTCTGGAAAACACTAGTAATGGGTGCCACCTCACAGTCTTTATGTGCCCCAAACACCTTGCACATGGAGCAGGTTGGCACACCATGTGTCACACAGTAAATGTTAATCTTTTCCTCTTTGTGGACTTCACACATGGGCGTCTCCTCCTTCTTCACCGGCTCAGGCTTTGTGCTGTTGAGCGAGAGCAGAGCTACTTTACTGTCTGCTCATACCTGGCACGGCATGTTAATTTGATGCATAATGTCACTTTGATAATGCCACAAGAGCACATCTCAGTTCTGTATTGACAATCCATCACTCACACCTCGCCATGCGCAAAACGCTGTCGGCAAAGTAATCATTGTGTTGCCAAATATAGACAACAGAATATGGAGAAAATGTATAAATACACTTTTGAAGAATTCCTACAATAAAAAGTGCTAATAACACTCACAACAACTTTCTGAATCCAACATTTAGATTATACTTCATATTTCCATTTCATCATTGAATGAACAGCTTTGAGCAAGGTCACAAGAATACAACACCATGTTATAAACTCTATGTCAACAATACTATAATCATTGAGACAAATACAAAGGTATAATCTATAACTTTGAGTGACCTTTTCCGGTATACATACATTCGTATAGAACAAGTTTTGTTTGTTTGAAATGCCTTACCTACTGGACTCTTGCTTGAACATATCAATGATATTCTCAACCAGCAAGTTCCTCTGCAGTCCATAAACTCCATGGCGATCCAGTACTACCTCATGTCTGCAGGATGGGCATCTGAAGCGGCCCCCAGACGTTAAGGAGCCAGCCCTGGTGGGTAGATAAGGATTTGCTGCCTAAATGAAGACATGATTCCAGATTTTAGAATACAAAAAATATTTCAGTTGTTAGAAATTACAGCCAAAAATGACAGGCTAAAATGTAATAAAACATATCCAACATATGTTATTCACTTAAGCCACGCTAAACTACATAAACTCACATAGTCAACATTATTTCAACTTCACAACACTGTATAGATGTATAGATGTAAAGCCCACAAGGCCGGAGTATTTTTAGCTGGCACTTTCTCTACAATTGTGGGAAATCACTGGAAGAACAACAGCTAGAGTTATGTCCAATAAAAGATAGAATACTCTGATCAAATAGATAGTTGTGGATAGTGTAATATTCATAAAGCAACATTATTAAAACAAAAACAGAATAAAAAAAATCAGTACTATGCCCCATGTTTGAAATTTCAATGACCTAGCCTAGGTCTAGATGTATCATTTTAGGGATGACCTACCACTTTCTACAGCCTGAATCTCAAATATGCCTAAATAACGTGGAGTAAATGAACAGACACTTAACTTAACTTACCTGAAAAACGTCGTTGGCACATTTCCTGCAGAGGTTATGTTGACAAGGCAATATGACCACTGGCTTTGTAAACATTTCCAGACATATTGGACAAATCAGTTGTTTTTCCAAATTGTCCATCGTATTCATGGCAAATACTGGTCCGCGTAAACCAATATCAACAGGGTATAGCGTAAAAAGACGAAGAACAAATCAAGGCTTATTATGCTCTGTAAAGTTTCAGGCCGAATACTGTCTTGTTCCTCTTGTCCTAGCTGGTGTGGCCCACTATCTTGTTGGTGTCAGTTCTGTTTTTAGCAGCTATTGCTGCCATGTCAAAGGGTGCCATTTTTACCCTGCCCATATTTGAAACCCAGTAGGGCAGAAACCTACAGAACAGCTGTTGAACCCTCCACAAGGCACACGATCAGCTGCCTGTGAGGACCCATAGATTTGGTATTTAGGCCTACTTTACTGGGCAAAGTGGTCCAGTTAACTTACACTTGGCCTGATCTAAGTTACGTACCGTATGTTCGAACATTAAGTGGGCCTACAAAGATTTTTTTCGACTATGATTGCAAGCTGTAACATCTTGAAAGCAAATATACGAGGAAAATACGTTTCATAGGAAATACGTTTATCCTATGAAACCTGTTACGCAATCAGTATAGTGTAAGGCCTTTAACTTGCTATAACCTATTGCGCAACTATGGATTGTACGTGCGCAACATCATAAAAAAACAAACAAAACTTTCGCACCATACCAACTACTAGTCTGTATCACATCGCGGAGTAATTGTACCTACACAACGTACGGTATTTGAACTATTTTTTTTAGCTGGATTTGTAAAGTCTGACGAAATTTTATTTTAAAACCTTCATGCATATCTCCTTCGATAGCTCAGTTGGTAGAGCGGAGGACTGTAGCGGTAACACGGAAATCCTTAGGTCGCTGGTTCGAATCCGGCTCGAAGGAGCGGTTACTTTTCCCACAATGCATCTTTCCTATTATTTTAAAGCGTATAAACTGTACTGTGCACCCCTGATCTACTCATGGAAGTATAATACAACCAAAGAAGTAGGCTTAACCTCATTAATGACTTAATTTAAATTACTTAGATTACGTTTAGTAATATTAAGTTACACTTTATTCAACCAACTGTTAGTTCTATGCGTTTTCTGGCCTTTACTTCTGATGTCTTTTTGTAAGACCTATATGTAGTAAGCGACCTAACACTTTTAATCATGTCTCTTTAAAGGGGTGAGTTAGTGTGAGCTAGTGATTACATATTCATTAACAAAAAGCAGGCAAAGCTCAAATGCTCACCTTTTAACCAGCGCCTAAAAGTACATTTAATGAGACCAATTAAGTGGAAGAAATTTATTCCTCCAGGAAGTAAACCTATTCATATCCTGAAGCTATTAGTGTCTGACTCACAATTTTGCAGTCTATCAAATAAAAAGCTGTCATATTATGTAGTAGATCACATGCTTATATTACTGGAGATCTAAAGTACCATGACCATAGCATTATTGTATTTTGTTTAGTGTTTTCTGTTATGATGGTCTATACCCAGGATGAAATGCTGAAGCCAGAAAAGATCTTCAGTTTCATATTTTCAGGTAAGTGGGACATAGGTCCTGTCATAAACTATATACAATAAAATGGTCTACCTTGCAGGCCTTTGAAGTTAAGTGCATTTTTATAGGTGCCAAAAGTGGCACTGCAATAACAGTATTCAAACAATTTGAACAGTAGATCAAGTGAATTAAAAAACATCAAGGAATAAATCTAAGTAATAAAAAACATTTCATATTCTAGCCTAATTTGATTCTCGTATTTGTCATAAATTCCATTGGTCACCATGGATTGTAGGGTCAGAGGGTCAGTGCATCAAACATATTTTATCTAACTAGTTCAAGGCCTTTGGTCCTAATCTTTGGCACCTTCAATGTTAATAGTGCTTTTAATATTGGTACTGTTGTTACGGATATGCATACTTGAACATGCGCCACAATTTACACATTTGTTTCAGCAAGATGAGACAGGGGCTTAGCCTGTTTGTCAATAGATAGTAAAAATCCAACAAAATAGGTGGAAAATGTGCATAAGAATACAAAATTTCAATTTAGGTTTATTTGTCTGGAAAAGTAAATATTAAGAATATTTATATAATTTTTGGTCTGGATAGGCCTGACAAGTCTCCAATATAGGCTGGGTAGGCGACAGGGGGTTTCAAGAAAAAAAAAGGTGGGAACTATTGGGTTAGATAATTTGTATAAAATAGTAAGTAGCTATATGTTTGTCATATTCATATTTTATGGCAAAGGATTCTATAAATGGGATGAATTTGTATGTGAGTTTTATAACACTTTCTACTAGAGTGACGTAAAAGATACGCCAGCATGTTAATAGGTTCCACTGCAGCTGATGGTCAGGAAAGTGGGGTGTGCTCAAACCTCTGCACAGTGGCAAAGGCAGGGCTTATTCTGCTAAAACTCTTAAAATTATCTCACATGCTTGTAAATATAGAGCATCTGTTCATTTGTCCACCAGCCAATGTTTTCTACTAGGGCTGGGTGTTATGGAAAAAATGTTTTTCCTCATATCATTGTATTGTATTGTACACTGTATCTTAAATATTCCATTTTAGTGAAGGTAAGAAGCTTAAAGTCTCAGCTAATATAATCACTTCACTGTCCTGTGTCATCCTGCTCAAAAATTATTGGTCACTACATATATTGTTTTACAAACATAATGAAATGCATGTTTTTAATAGAAATTTGTGATTTTCTTGGCATTTAAATTTCTCTGATTCATTGGTGATAATTATTGCTAGAAGGCAATACAATTTCACATTGAAAATTTTAACCAAAGATTAATCACATTTATCATGTATTAAAAAAAAGCATAGTGACAACCACCCCATGGGGTCTGAGAACCATTTCTATTTAATTTTGTTGCCTGAGACTTTAACATTCTTTCTTGAGCTGAAATGGAATTTTAAAGCTAAGACATTCTGATGAACTTGTCACATGTCACAACCAACCATGGTCTCCCCTAACATACTTTTCCAGTTCCTATAGTATAAACATATTGTGTATTGTCTAACACATGAGTCTAGTTAGATGACAGCAGCTCACAATCATCAAACTACTCTTAGTCCAATTATTCAGTGTTGTATTAGTAACTTGATCCGAGTTGATACATTATTGACACTGTGTGTACATTAGCGGTAATACAGTGCCCTCTAGTGGTGAGCAAATAATGTTGCGTTGACAGTTGAAAGAAAGAAAACAGGACGTTTGTTGACTTTCGGAAATCATCATAGAAATGTCAAAAGAACTTGTCACAAAGCCTATTGTTTGAAACAGAAGCTCTGTATACCACTATTCCAACAAAAAGGTCATATCTATTGGCGTTCTATAGATTTGGAAAAACAAGGCCCTAAATGTATCCACAAATGGCAATGGCTACTTAATTAAATTACCTATCCAACTAAACCCTCCTATTTAATCAATACTATTGATGTAACATCCAAATTATGAATATTATGTGCACTGTATTTGCAGGTTTATGCCACTAGATGGCTCTATCTACTTACCTTTATAAATCCACAACTCGTTGCCTCTTTTAATTGTGTTAGAAAGGACATTGATTTAGTACACAAGAATAAAGGATCAGAAGTGCACACTCAAACAGTTAACTCAAGCTAAATTTAATAGTGCATCCACAGTGTTATAATGTACTAGGCCTATGAAGTGATAATAGAAATCCCCTGTGTTGTTAATGGCTGTATTAATTAGTGACACCAAAGCAAACCGTAATATCTCCCCAGAGTCTGCCTGGTGTCGGAGGTGTGGGGCACCAGGGGCCTTATAAGCACATTTGGAGGCTGGAACCCCAAGGGGAATCATCAGGTATGCAGCATACCTTTTTCCTGTGAGCACACACCCCTCTCTGAAAGTGCAAGCCTGTTCGTTTGTGTGTGACTGAGGCCAAGAGCTGTGCAAGGAATTAATTAGAAAATCCCCCCAAGTATCATTTAGCTGTTCCCAAATGTGCACTTAGAGGACAGAATGTAAAATGTGTACCGTCATGACGTTGTATTGACGTAGTCATATGTCAGATCAAGCACTTTCTGAGTTGTCTGGCAACAGCAGCTTGGTGAACTGTGAGTACTACGAGTTCAACTCTCTTCTCAATTGATGTTTGCTCAAATAGATCTAGAAGAAGGCAATACGCTATTATTATCCCTAACATTATCACTAACCATTCTGTTTAAGCCTAAATATATGGCCATATAATGGTGTTGGTACTGTCCTATGAGGAATGTTAGGATACATCTAGACCTATGCCCTCCTCCAGCCTGATAGTAATATAAATCTTTGACTGTAGGCCTACTATATAATTATGGCTAGGAACCATTAATCTATTTCATATTATTATAAATTCATTATTGTCCTCTAACAGCAAATAGGCCTACAATAATTTTGTGGCCTGCAGTGTTGCTTAGGAAGAATACAGGACTCACCTTGTGGGGGTTGTGATAGTGGGGAGTTGGATTGAAAGCTGTAAAAATGGGAGGGGATTATGGCTTCATTGGCACTGAGTGTTGCCATGGCACATCCATTGTTCAACTGCACATGGCACAAAACCCCACTGATGTCTATGATTTGGTTTGGTATTGCGTATTTCTTTTTACTCCTCAATATGTTATCTGAGAGGTAAACAGTACTTTACGTTAAACAAAAATAAGTGTTGGATGGGGCTCAGGCCTACCATAAAATACAGCCATAGCCTCAGACAACAAAGGAGTGAATTGCCTCAGCCTCAGTAGCCTCCAACAAAGCCACTTTATATTTTCAAAGTATTCCCTATAGTCTGTATTTCAAACTCTAGTGAGACTAAGCTCCCAAGTAGTATGACTCATGAGAGGAAGGTAATCACAGGCAATGATGTGGACCGCTGCAGGGCAAGCCCCGTTGTGGAGGAATACCCTTGAGAAAGTCCACGCCGTCTGCAAACGACTGCTCATATAGGTCTTGGGATCGCCCCGGTAATACAACCAATCACAAAGCCTGTTGTAAATATTGTAGGCGCGTTTAACCAATCAGCGACGAGTTTGCAATAGCAGCTTTGACGCGATTGGTTGTTTTTTCACAAGGGCGTATTTGCTCGCTCCAACAGCACCATCTCTGGCAGGTGGTGTGCGCTTTAAAACCATACTGTAGGCTAATGTTTAGGTCGGTGGATGGGTAGTTCAAGACAAATAGGCGTATTTTACTTTAGCACTGTGCCATAGTAGGTTGCTAGTTTATTAGTACGTGCCACTGCGTTTGTCCTGAAGGCGGCGGAATTGTAGTGACCGAGATGAACGTCGGGGTTCCCCTCTCTCTTTGAGCCAGACACATTGGTGCTTTTACGGTCAGCGGTGAATTAACTACAGCTTCTCATCATGCAGCTGCTGAAAAGACGGAAAAGCCCTCGGCGCTGATGCTGTTTGGATGTTTGGTCCCCGGCGTCGTGCCTGGTCACATCCTGGAGCAGCCTCGCTTCGTCTGCCGCGGCCACCCGGTGCATGCAGTATGATATGTTGATGACATTTTTTGGAAGTGATCGTGCCTTTTGTTTGCATTTCGGGATATGCGATATGCGGATCTCCAAACGCCTCAAGTGAACGGACGTTTTGATGTGCTCTAAAAAATGAGGAAGCGTTTCTATAAAGACCTCGAAAATGACAACAAGGTCTCGTCGTCCGTGGGCCCGGATTTGAGTAAAATGAGAAGGAAAAGGGCTAATGCAGCAACAGAATGATCTTTTTCCTCACGGAACGATACCAAAGGTGGGGGTAGACCAGACGCAACATCAATGAAGGCGATTAGGACAAGTTTTGAGTCGCTTATCATAAACAGAAACACTTGGCTGCTTGATTATAGCAGATCACATTATTGAAAGGATTAAGAACACTTTAATTATCACCAATCCTGCACTGCATTTGTTATTTGTTGTTACCAGTTGCTTTTCCTTTTTATTTTATTATTTTATATTTTTGACTCGGATCCAGCTCTGACAATTCAATGGAAGTATGTTATCAGCTGCCGGTTTTGCCTCTCGACAGGCCGGTTCCCAAGCACGTCCTCAGCCGGAGGGGGGCCATAAGTTTTAGCTCCAGCTCTTCCCTCTTTGGGGCTCCCGATCCGAGGCAACTGTCACAGGTATAACCACCCTTGTCCTTACGTTTAATCATTTAGATTTAGCACTACATACAGGCCTTTAACTCCCTCATTTTGTTGGCAAATACATGACCAAGCTGCAGGAATCTTGCAGGTGGTTGTTGGATATCTAGGCCTTAACACACACTGTGCACATTCACTCATTTACTGTACACAACCGTTTCTTATCTGTCACACCCCCAGCATACGCACACATCACCTTAAACCATTTTGCATTTGTGCAGATAAAGCCCACATCAGTTGGCCTGTACCAACACTGTAGGAGGATACCAAAAGTACTAGTCTTGACATGGGACTTGCCACAATTGTAAACTACAGCGTACTACTATGTTATTTGTGTTGGTATCTCTTGACACATTAACAGAAGCTTAAATGATTGTTGCAAAAGTGGTAGAATTCTGACCCAACAACCTTTTCTGGGGTCACATTCTACTTGACTCTCGAGCACACACAAAAAGTGGCACTGTGGTACAATGCATTTCCACTGCATTAGTCAAACAATGTAAGTGTGCACAGGCATGAGTCTCAGATTTAGATACCATGGTATTTTTACTTCCTGCAACGTTGATTTATAATTTGAACAAGTTTTTCAACACATCACATGCACACAATTGTAGTATGACTCCTCCTGTTGATCTACCCATTTGACACATTAACTAAGCATTAAGTCATCGTTGTCAGTTTACTTGTTTTCAATGGGGTGTTCAAAGGTGCTTTGTTTGGGACACTGCTCCATATAACCATCCATGTGTGGCCACTTTGAACCTCTTGTACTGGCCCTCAATGTATGGGGAATGAGCGGCTTTCTTATCTTTTTAATTGCTTGTTGTAATTTACTGTTGGAATGACTTCTGTGCAGAGTTTGATCATTTTGCCAACTTCCTTATGCTGAAGCCAAGTTTAAGTAGCACAACATTACTGTGCAAAGTAAGTTGCATGTTAATGTAAGCCTCCTTTGTCTTAATTCATAACACTAGACATCTTTCATAAACTCGCTTCCCTCTCAACAGGTTTTTATTTCATCACATAAGCGTTCATTTCTGTTTTGCAAGTGGGAGGTGTGCTCCATTGTTCTTGTTTGGCAATAATTCGACCAGAACTGAATACTGTGAGTTGGAATCATGATTTCTGTACAATGCAGTATAAATTTAGAAGGTTAGGAAAATGCCAGTAACCCACATTATAAACTGTCATATTTCTATAGTCCCAACACTTCAGGACCTCATGAGGGACACTTGCTCCAGTGGCTGCCATGTTTTGTGTGTGTTTCCTCTGGCCTGTTGTTGATGGAAGTAAAGCTGGACTTGGTTGCAGAAAAGGACAGTTAGGCATGTGCACTGGCTCTGTGGGCAGTGGTTTGGCCCAATCCCAAACTCACAGATGGCCAAAGTCTCTTTTCTTTCACTGGCTATCTTGTTCCGCTTCTCCCTCTCTCCCCGTCTCCTTCCCTCCCCTCCTTCCAATGAAGACATTTCCTCTTGTAAACAGAGGATGAAAGAGAAGAGTTGAACAGACTCTTAGAAGAATATGTCACTATGTAGTTTAGGAATGCTTATGATGAGGTGTAAATATGCAGTGAGGGAGGCGAAGAAATTACATTTAAAGAACAGTCACATTTATTCCATTACAAAGCCGCTATTGTGTCAGGTGGGAGTGTGTGTCGGTGGCTTGTTGATTTAACATTTTTAATAATTAAGTTCTAGCTAATTCTAAAGCAATAGTTGATTCACTGATGTTTTCAATAGATGGTGTGAATGTCCTGCAGTGCAATACAGTTTAGCATCTCCAAATCACTATATAGATTTCTTGTGTATTAACCAGGCCAGGAAAACACTAGCCAGCCCTAAAGCCAGCTCTCCAGAGGCCTCATATACTCTAGGAATCGTGCATATGATTGTGCAGAGTTGTTTGACACAAATGTATTATGGCTAAAGGCAAGTCCTAAATTCAGCCAAAACCACCATTTGATCTAGTCCATTATTTCAGTTTGTTTGTTTGTTTTCTTGTTTTACATTTTTTTGTGTCTCAGACACTTTTTTTATTACTGGAATTTTTTGCTTATTCTTCTGACGTAAAATGGTACATTATTTAATTAAATGCATAAAGTAAAGGTTTGTTTGCACATTATCACAAATGTACAGAACTTTGTATAGGCGGCAGTAGTTCAGTTAATCTCAGATGAGTCTGTAAAATTCTTCTCTACATTGCATTTGTTTGTGCTTATGTTTCATTCACCTTGTATACATGAAAGTTAGTGTCATGGTGTGATTGATGATGGCTCTTATCTAATAATTTATTATTATTATTATTATTACAAATGTAGTATCATGATTAAATATGTGTTTTAACTTCACAATTTCAAAAAACAAACTTTGGTGTACTTTAAACACTGAACAAAATCAATTTGCCACGTAACTAGTTAGCCACTGCAAAGTATTGATGAGGTCTGAGTTGTCCTGAGAAAAAAGTGCATCGTCCAAAGAAGTGATGTGCTGAATGTGATCAGCCCTTGTGATGTTTGGTTACTATTGGAGACAATAGACGTAAGAAGAGCAGATATCGCTGTGCGTCCCGGCCACAGTGTGAATGATAAGGACAACTCCACACTGCTTTTTTCTGAGGGAGTCAACTGTTGTTTTCAACTGTAGCGATAAGCATTTTTCTTTTTCTGCTCAGTGCCATCACATTGACGTAGTTTCAGGATGTGGTAAGAATGCTGAAGGAGCCGTTCAGACACTGAGCCTGGAGTTTCACAATCTCTCTCAAAAACCTTAACCCTTGTTGTGCCAAAGTTTTACTTCTTGGGGAATTAGGCATTTTTGTAGTGCAGTTTACTTATATGTTCTATATCCAGAAATCCTATCCTGCCCGCATTTATACGCACACAAAGTGTCCCTACCGCTCTTTGCTTCTCTGTAAGGGGCCCCAGTCACATGACCACTGTGTTATTGTGCTGCAGTGTTGGGTGCAATCGGCCGTGAGAATATGGCTGTACACATCAGTAGACCACCGAAAACAGTATCAGTAGCCAGCCCGACTGAAATAGGTTTTAGCCAGAATTACTCTGAGCTTCACCATAAAAGGACAATATATTAGTTGCAGGTGTTTGGTTCAGATCCACTTTTTGTTTAGCATCCTCATTGGGAAGTAAAATAATCTGGCTAGAGAAACCACTACCTCCTTGGACTGATGTTTGTAATGAATGAAATAGGTGTGTCATGTAGACAACCTGTGAACGAATAAAACAAGTGCTTCCCTTCCCCCACCTCTAACTGTAGCGCTCTGCTCCAAGCACATTTATACAAGGCCCCTAAAAGCACTCTGTGTAAAAGAACCTTTAAATCATTTTATGACACTTCAGTCGCCAGTAAAAACATTAGTTTCAGATGCTGTTCTCTTTGGTGTCAACAGCGCCTTGTCTCTCAACAGCAGCAGCTCGTCCAAGTCCTCTGGCCTATCAGAGCTGCGTGTGCTCTAAAAGTCACTGCAGCTGGACTGTATCAGTGTGTGCATCTGGAGCTTAGGGCATGCACGCACACACTCACTCTGGCTCCACCGGTGAGCACTCCTGACGGCACTGGAATGTCCCGAAACATACAGTAAAGTGCTACAAGAGGTCATCATAGCTCAACTGCTCAACTGCTCAACTATTCAGGCTATGCATCTGTGCCTACGTTCAGAGACAGATTTGGTGTGGTACTATTCTGATTATAGCAACACAAACTTCCCCATCTGATTGAATCTACTACTAACCTGTGCTGCAACAAAACCGGATGACACAATACAGTTAAACACGGAAGTTGAAGAACACTCATAATCTGCTGTTCTGTAGTGGCCATGTTTAACAATGCCTTTGGGCTTTGCTAAACTAGCACAGACACAAATGGCCCAAAGTGCATTTGGTGGTTTGCTTTTAAATTCCACAAAAGTAGTAAATTCTTAGCAAAACAAGTTTTCAAGATTAATGCTGCCTCTGTAATGTTGTTAGCGGTTAAAATGGCTTGGCTTGACGCGTCCCTACAGACATCACATAACCTCTGACCTCAGAAACCTGAGTCCTCTGACCCCCGCCAGAGCTTACAACAGAGATAAGGGCCAGAGCCGCATGTAAACGAGCTTACGTGGAATTGCTGGAGCACAATGGATGGACTGTTGTACTAGCTACAGTAAAAGGCCAAACAAAACTGAAATTTGGTTTGTTCTCAGACCACAGCGAGCAAACACAACTCGGCCACAGCTCCAGTTGATTGGTTAATGTCTTCCAAAACAAACAAAGGAGTTCCCATATATTTATAAAAAAAATGTGTCTTTAGAAATACTTCACTAACTACCTGCCCTCCCCTAAGAAGCACTGTGCAATAATTGTAGTTTTACAAATTCTATAGTCATAGTCCACATTTTTCACACAGATGACCCACTTGACTATATTGAGCTCAACAATGACCAACCACCCCCTGGAGGTAAATTTCTCATTAATTTTTCACTAGACTTTCCAAAAAAATTTTATATTAAAAGTTTGCAAGCTCGTTCAGGGTTAATCAACTATGTGGTGACTAAAGACCACAAGACTTTATAGTTTCATTTATAATCTGTTTCTGAAGCTTATTAAAGCATTTGGACTTAAAACAACCATGTTATGGATAATGGTTACCAGCCAACAAACTCTTAATACTTGAATTTTTTGAAGAAAATTAATGGAAAATTTACTTCAGGAACCAGAGCAGGCGGTCAGTGTTGAGGTCTACTAACATGCATGAGTATCTTTGTCAGTAATATTAAGCATCCTATATTACACAAAATGGATTCTTTTGACGTGCCATGTCATAATGTTGCCTCATCAAAACAAAAACATAACCAGCATTGTGTTTTGTTTCATTCACACATGAGTAATTTATTATTAATCTGTCTATATCTCCAAAGCTCTAAATGTTCTGTTCCACTTTGTGATGTCATGTAGTGTAGTGTGTAGTTTTCAAGTTAAC